AATTCTGTTCCAAACCACTGATGCTAATTCTTGTCGTCTCTTTTAGCTTTGTCAGTTGTCAGCTGCTATTGAAAAGGTCTTTGTACAAATTACTGCTGTTCCTGATATGATGAAGAAACCGTATATTTTGTATTTTAATTGTATAGATAAAGATACAGTGTATAGTGTCTGTATTTATGCCGTGAGGTATTGATTGTTTATTTATATTTATTGTTTTGATTTTTAACAATCATAAAATGAAAGTCACAATGAGGTGCATTGTTAATCGTGACTCAGTTATTTTCATATATATATGATAGATAAATAATGAACTCTGATCATATTTGTAAGACAGTTATTTCAGCTAAGATGATATTCTGACCTAAGATTGAGGAACACACATTAAGAGCTCTCCGAGGTTGTACTCTGTTAGTATGCGCATCATCTTAAAGGCGAATAAGTGCTTTTGCTTTAACATGGATACCTGCTTCTATTTTGCTGCTGTCAGTTTCAGCATTCTCATTATATATCAAATATGGGAAAAGCTCAAATGTTTTTGTGAAGAATGGCTTCTAAAAATATGAAAGAAATTTATTAAATACAAAGTGAAGCTGATGAATGTCAATATAGTAACATTAGTGGAAAATAATACATAATCATAAACTTTTCCCTGTAAAAGAAATCAAGAAACTCAGGATTCATGCCGTGGAGAACAATACTATGTATACGAAAGTTTCTTGTAATGTAACCATAACTGCAGAGATATTTCACTTACCTCAGACACTTGAACTAAAATTCAACGTACTAGTAACACATGACAAAGATCAAAGGTCTGTTAGTCAGTATTAGAAGTTGGGCTGATCATATAATGGCTAACTCAACAGTAACTCAGCTGTTAGCATCTTGCTGGTGATTTATCAACACAATCACATAAAAAAAACAATCAATTCTCAAAAGACAGAGAAATATGTGGATATGCGTAGCAATGGGTTTGTTTCAATAATGTGAATAATTATTAGTCTGTGCATGGTTCAGAGCAAAGATTTGGTCTGCTGCTATTTTTCACACTTCTTTAGTCTGAAAGCCTCAGTCTGGCAGGACTTATTTACAAGTTTTTACACTCTTTTAAATAAAATTAAAATGCAAAAAATATTTGGATGGAAACAGGCAAGTTCCAGAATTTTTTATGTGCACAGGCTGTGGTGGGAAGTTTAAAAGTGGTTAAAAATTCAGCTAGTTCTAATGATTTTAAATGTTCAAACTCCTGCCTCCATAAGTAAGGTTTAGAAGTAGTGCTCTCAGTGTTAATAAATGTTAATAACGAGATTAATGCTGACAGCACTATTTAGAAGACATGACTGCCTCATAAGAGTACATTAGCTGAATTGAAGCTCAAGTTTCAGCAACAAGGTAACTGAGCTAATAACATATGTTCTGGTTAATTTTTTCACATTTTCCTTAAAACTCACCATTTCAAAGTAACAGACCAGTAGGTAGTAAACCTAATCACTGTGAGGCATATGAAGTGGTGTCCATTCTTAGCCAGTCATCATCACTGTTGAAAGGAAGGTGTGCTCAATTAGCACAGTGATGGATACTCATTCATCTAACAATATAGACCGGTAATGTTACTATTATTTAGTATTTTCTAGCCAAAGGTGATGGAATGGGAGAGGTTTGAATGGGCCCAGCTTTACAAGTTTCAGAAAACATGGCATCAAAAAGGTCATCATAAACAAGAAGTTTTTAGAAGACACCTCTGAAAAACATTGTTCTAAAAATTAGATAAAAGGATAAAAATCAATTTTGGATGCCCATTACTGAAGACCCTCAGGTGACACTGAATTAAGAACAGGTATCATTCTATCATGAACTGCGTAGGCTCAGGAGCACCTCCAGAAATCATCTGTGAAGACAGTTTGATGGCTGTAGATTAAAACTCTGTTATAAACAAAGTGGAAAACACTTCTGTAATAAGACAAACTGAAATTTGAAATTGTTTTTGGCAAACAGAATTGGGCACTTGCTCCTCTGGACTGAACAGGAGAGGGACCATCTGCCTTTCTATCAGGACTCAGTTTAAAGCCTCCATCTCTGATGGTATGGGGAGCAACTTATGTACCATCCAGAGTATGGCTTCAGGGAAGGGTTTGCATATTTCAGTAAAACCACATACTGCATCTCTTCCAGCAGCATGGCCTCGTACTAGAAGCATCTGGCCACCAACTGAAAAACATTTGATGTGTCTTGAGATGAAAAAAGACCCAGGACTGTTGAGCAGCTAGAATAATCTATCAGGCTACAATGGAGCAACAATATTTCTCTCCCAAAAGAGCAAAATCTCCTCAGTTCCCAGACGTTTATAGACCAAAACACGAGCGTAGTGCACCTCAGGAGGTAGTGCAGGTCATCTGCTAACGGTGGTTCAATCCCTGGCTCCTCAGTTGACATGCAAAGTATCATTGAGCCAGAAACCCTAAACTACTTTCTGATGCAATTATTGGAGTGTGACTGTTAGAAAGCACTTAGGTGTGGAAAAAAGGT